ACTCCTTGGGCGAGTGATCAGCTCGTCGCAAGGCCTCTACCTGCAGACAAACACAGAAAAACGCACACAAACATCCATGCCCTGAGTGGGATTCGAACCCACGATCCCGGCTTCAGAGCGAGCGAAGAAAGTACATGCCTTAGACCGCTCGGCTACCGTGACCGGCACATATATGTATATACTGGGAAGTAAAAGAGAAAACTGATTATGCGAATTATGTTCGTTCTGGAATTACAAATATTATTTTTGGGACAATGGGAAAAAAAATCTTGTATCACGTATGCGTTTCATGCTACGTGTCCCGTCCATGTCATCACTGTTGACTGTATCGCCCTGTCAGTGTTATGTGAAGAGTGCTATTTAAGAAATTCAAGATTCTGGGATTTTCTCCAATTAGTATTTCTGAAGTCCAAATATTCTCTTCAATAATTTGTTGGCAAGCACATCCAATCGTTCTTCCCCTAGGGTGAGAAACGAAGTGTGTCCTCAAGTAGAAAAAAAACAAAAAAACACGTGGTTTTAGTCCGCAAGCGAACTATACCGACCAACCGAGCGACCGCCGCTTGTCGGCGAAGATAGTGCCAACTTTAGCGGATAGAGGGTGTCGCGTGGTCAGCGCAACGAATCCCCAAGGCCTTTAATTTATGTTCTCTAGACCGGAGCTGCTATTTCCTTGAATTAGCTCCTCAAATGTTCTCACGAGGCTGAGTGGACCCTGTTCCAGACCCACTACTTCTCAGAAAATCTGGAAGCGCCGGGAATCGAACCAGGACCTATGGATATGTAGCCAGGAACTCTGACCAATAGACCACAGACGCGGTCTGTCCTGACGTAGAAGAACAAATAAAATTATAGCTTCGAATATTTTAACGTTATTTACATATTTTACGGGATCATGAATGGAAGTGCAGCAAGAATTTGTGACTCAAATTAATTTGAACTCAACAGCCCTTTTTGTATTTAGCGACACATATTTGTTTCAACAATAACCAAAAATATACAGAAACTATCGAACTTCGCAGTTAATTGCTATTGTGTTCCATGACATGGGTGTGAGTTTTTCTGAGGAAAACGAATGACTCACTCGCCCCGAAGAAGGCTCCGTCTTCAGATGTGCTTCCCATCAGCCAAGGAACTTTGTAGAACTCTCCAGTCTGCACCAGCTGTAGAGGGGCGAGTGTGAGAAAAGGTTCTGGGTTCGAGGCACTCTTCGACTCCAACACGGGTTGCCACAGCTCAAGCTGAAACACAGGATGCATGCAGTTCTGAAACTCAACCAGAACTAGGCAGAAATGTCACGAGATAGAGCATAGGTTTCTGACGATGGTGTATACCACTCAGAATTACTGGGTTCCCGGAACTTGTCTACTGTCAGGTTTTCTAAGGGGTCACACGGTAGCGTAGTTGGCCAATGCACTATGCTACAAGCCGGAAGGTCGCGGGTTTGAGTCCCGATGAGGCGATTTTTTCAACTGACCTAATCCTTCCAGCCGCACTATGGCCCTGGGGTCGACTCAGCCTCTAACAGAAATGAGTACCAGGAAACTTCCTGGTGGGTAAAGAGCGGCCGGCGAGTTATTTTTTTATTGCTAGTGGGGTGGGACTAAGCCCCTTGTACTGCGGCCACTTCTGGCCTATTGTACCAGCCCCAGATGATAGGTGAGGGTGATTGTAGAGCAATTAGTGGAATGAAGATTGGCAGGGGAAACCTAAGTACTCGGAGAAAACCTGCCCCAGCGCCACTTTGTCCACCACAAATCACACTTGAAGAGACCCGGGATCGAACCCTGGCCGCCGCGGTGGGAAGCCAGCGACTAACCGCTTGAGCAGGCGCGTAAGGCTGACAACCTCAAGGCCATCTGTGAGCCGATTGTCTAGAAAATGTGAGCCTCGACGTCTCACAACCCTATGGGCCTCCACGGCCTGTTACAGGGATAGCTTTACCTTTTACCTTTACCTCTAAATCTTTATGAATAATTTGGAATCGATCAAGATAGCTGGTTGAGATTCAAACTTGTATCTCCCGAAATAAAGTCTAGATTGTTACAGCTGCACGAACTTGCTTAGTAGTCCGTTTTATTTTACTTACTCAGTTCAGCTGATGAAGTTTAACTGAAGTTCAGGGATTCTTTCCTGCTCTTGTAAAGTCTAGCTACAGGAACACCAGGCGTGTGTAACACAGGATAGAGCGCCGTTTCCTTCAATGTGGCGCCGTGTAGTGGTTATGGGGGAACGTACTGCCTCATTTGTCCACCCCGATTCAATGGAAAGTATCTTTACTGGTTACATAAATGTCTTCTTATTCTTATTCATTTCTTCATGGTATGGTCAGTGAAGCCTGCCCCGATTTCACACAGGCCCACTCGTATCCTCTTTCCCAAGACAAGTCTCGGGGTCCTTTGTCTTATAGTTTCACCATTCATTCTGTCCTGATGGTTTAGCCAGATTCGTCTGTATTCATGTATTTTATTCCTTACTGATTCATTCTTCAGTTCTCTTCTTACATATTGCGATATGTAGACCCATTTCTAGGCAACGACTCGGCAAAAACATTCCCGCGGCAACGAATACGAAGGCAACACATACTAGGAAGTGGGATGTCTTATTACATTTTGTTGTATGCATTGTGGGCTGATTGGTGGGGCTGGTACATGTAGGACGGTTTACAGTACTATTGTTATGCATCATGATTCTGGGAATGTATTGTATAGACCAGTGGTTGGTATAACCAATTTGTTGGATGTGAAGTGTGGTCATAGGTTGTTTCTTTGGTATACTGTAGCTTTTAAGTGATGGTTGTGACACTTTCCTCAGGGTAATTAGTTTTTTGTTTTTTTTATACTTCATGTTAAAGTCATTGTTGAATACATATGTTACTGGTACTTTTAATTTATGGTTTTATCTTATTGTATTTAAATGAAATTTTAATAATGTGTGTACTGTATCATATATCGTTCTTATCGGGTATTTTGACTCTGTTCCAATGATTGGGAACTTAGACTAGTATTTACTTTGTGACACGTTCTATATCCAACAGTTTGTACTTTCAACTCATGTATGGATCAACTGAACTTGAAATAAATATGAATATGAATATGAATATGAACAGTTGGATAACTTTCGTTGCTATGCAACGCGCTGTAAATATAACAACAGAGGAAGAGGTGTTTTCTATGTAGTTCGCATATATCCATTGCTGGGCAACGGATATGTTTTATATGGGTCCGCCTAGATACTACATATGTGGTACAGAACCGAATTAAATAATTAAAAAAGGGAATGAGAGAATCAGAGTGGAGCGCGTCCTCAGCAGTCAAGTTAGAAGGATTCGGTTGAAGATTTATTGTGAGTTATTGTTAATTGATTGTGATTAAGAGAGATTGTACTACAAGGTACTAATAAATCCAACTATCCAATCCGAAACCCGTTGTTATTAGTCACGGAGCCATAAACACGTGACAATATTCATTCCAAGAACGATCTAGTATAGCGCTGCCTTTAACTGATACCGAGTACCTCAACATTTCGTGTGGCTTATTTTACGACGTTAGCTGCATAGCGTCATATTCCAGACGTGACCCAGTGAGAGCCTCAAACCTTACTTCGTTTGCCAGCTCGTCTCAAAGCAGCTATAGACATTTGCGTACTTTCCCCAACAGATGGCCAATCAAAGTACGTTGACAGGCGATGCATTGCTACATCGGTGCGGTTTGGGAAACCTATTTCCAGTAGAGCCTGTTGCGTACCTCTTTCTTTACGATGTCCTTCGCTTCCATACCTCGGAGACACCGAACTAAAGCGGCCGAATTTGTCGCAGGACATCCAACAACTTCAGCTTGCTCTTTGGCTTTAGCCAGTGGATCTGCGGGGGGAAGCACCCAGGGCATGAACGCCGAACCACTCTGGCTAATAGCTCTATGAAACAACCCTGAAAAAACAGATTTCAGTGATGAAACGTCATAAGTTTACACTTTCTGCCTCGGGCTAGGGGGTGTAGTCTGTTCGGATTCAAAATTAACTGCAGGAAGAAAGAATTATTTCAGACATTTCGTTAGGTGGGCTGTAGCAAATACCGGAAAGTTTAGAAATGAGCATAAAATTTTGGCCAGAAAATGTCAAAGGGAACCTAATTGTGACCGGATGGATAAATAAGAGTCTGGCGGTTAGTCGCTGGATTCCCGCCGCGGCGTCCTGGGTTCGATCTCAGGTCGGACCATGAAGAATTTATGGAGGACAAACTGGCAATGCACAGGTTTTCTCCGAGTACTTCGGCTTCCCCTCCAAATTCTCATTCAACGAACTGTTGCGCAACCTTTTGTTATCTGTCATGGGACACGAACCAACACGGTGTCATGTATGAACGCCGGAGTTCGAATTCCTCGCCGACTGTACCTCTGCTGGAGGGTGAGAACATGTGGAAGTGCACCGATTTACTCCCTGCGCTCTGGCCTTGAATTGTAACTCTTTCTGCATCACCGCCGAATTGTTCAATGTTGTCTCGAACCCACCGCAGGGCTGCCACCTGGTCCTTCATTGCGTAATTACCTGGTGCCACGTCGTCTCCAGTGCTTAAGAATCCTGCAGAGTAAGCATTGAAAAAACATTTCATTGCTTCGAATTACTAGCAAGGACCAGTAGAGTATTTCAAAAGCGTGGTAATTCATTGGGCACAGGGACTTCACGCCAAGGAGAACATCCACTGTACTTCAATTCACATTAAGCACAGGGACTTAACCTAAACATCCGCTTTGCTGTGTATACTTAATTTCGCATTCCGCCTAAGCAAAAGTGGAAAGGTGTTATTCAGTAAACTACACAAAAATGTAACGGTAAAGTTATCCCTGTGGGCCGGTCACGGTAACCGAGCGGTCTAAGGCATGTACTGTCTTCGCTCGCTTGGAAACCGGGATCGTGGGTTCGAATCCCACTCAGGGTATGGATGTTTAGTTTGTGTGTGTGCGTTTTTCCGTGTCTGTGTACAGGTAGAGGCCTTGCAACGAGCTGATCACCCGCCCAAGGAGTCCTACCGAATGTGTAAGATCTAGAAAAACCGAAATGAACGGAGAAGTTCAAGGAGGTAGGCCTAGGCCCACTGGGGCTGTAGTGCCAAGGAAAAAAAAAGAAGTTATCCCTGTGCTTAATTAAATACTACGTCATGAAGGCGTATGGGGGAGTGGATGTGTAGAATCACCTTCTTAGAAATCCCAATTGTCTCCTTTTGCTCATATAATTCTGTTTCTTCTTCATGAACTGTAAATAAAATTTATTCTCCTGAAATTAATCATGGAGCAGATATCCAACATTTTTGGGGAAGAAAATACGTTTCTTCTTATTCCGTTAAATATTCATGACAAGTATCAAAGTTTTAAAATAAACATATATGTCCATCCTTATTGTATCTGTACTTTATGTAATGTACTAATTCATTGTACCACAAACCACGTTTGAGGAAATTTATGTTTTATTTGAACTTTCTATAATGTCTGAGTTATACTGATCTGACATGGGTCAAAATAAAATTGGTTTCCTGTAAGTTATTTATTGCCAAAATTGGCTGCTGAAATCAAATTTAGTTCCATTAATGTTCAGTCTCCGTTTCTTAAAAAATAGGTCTAAGCTATAGGACACTCGTGGTTGTATATCCGAAAATGATTAGCTCCTTTACTTTGAGCTGAATATAATTCCGGGGCAAATGGGGAGCCTCACGTAACGACCAAACGTGTCACAATTTTCTGGCTGGTAGGATTATCACCAATCACTGAAATTACAGAAACAAAACTTGGCCCGCTCATACGTTCTCGTACTTTCAGCCTCAGAACAATAATCACAAGATGTAGCAGTACTTAACCCATGACTCCGAGGCGATAGTTAATGGTGACCAGGACGACGTCCTTGTCCAGCATGTACCAGGGTCCTGCCGCGTAGCTCACGCCGGAACCAACACTGTACCTCCCTCCGTGGATGTACACAATCACAGGAAGTTTCGCTCGGTCATCAGTCGGCTGTAAATTGTACATAATTTCTCATCATAAGGTATCCAAAAGCAACTAGAATGCTCAAGTCAAGGAGGGTGAGATTGGCAGGGCATGTAGCACGAATGGGGGAGGAAAAATGCATATAGGATATTAGTGGAAAAGGCCGAAGGAAGGAGACCACCGGAAAGACCAAGGCGTAGGTGGGTGTACAATATTAAAATGGATATCAAAGAGAATGGGATGGCATGGATTGGATTGATCTGGCTCAAGATATGGACCGCTGAAGGGCTCTTGTGGACACGGTAATGAACCTTCGGGTTCCATAAAATGCTGGGAAGTTCTTGAGTAGCTGCAGAATTGGTGGCTCCTCTAGAAGGGCTCAGCTCCATGAGCGAGCGAAGGTACCCAAAGTCACAGAAAACAAATCGTAGACCCGTTCTGATTCTAGGTTTAGTAAATGGAAGTTCTGAAAGTTATCTGTCGTCCAACAGCGAGGAGCGGCTGTTTGAAACTAATACATCAAGTCCTGCAAGAAATTAATTTAATCTGTGACCATTTTGTGTGTGCCATTTTCCTGCTAGGAATGAAATAATTCATTCGACACTACAGACAATATTTAAACACTTCCGGAGTTTAATACTATCAGCAAAACGGAAGAATTGTGAGATGTTATGACTTCCTGTTTACTTCCAATGAAATCATTCTATATTACGTTTTTATTCATTTACGGTTCGTTTAACTACGCTGTCAGTATCTCAGATTTTATGGCGTGGAATGAATTGGAAGGAATTAAAAAGAAGTTTTCGTGACCTAATCAGTCTTGCTATCCCGTTACCTGCCTGCAAGGTCAGTCAGGACAATCAGTGTTCCGGCGCAGAAGCTGATCGTGCCTCTCTCGAACAGAAGCTTGAAGCGTTAGCGCTTCAGAAAATTGCTTGTTTATGTGAAGTGGCTAGCGACAACTATGAAGCAATAGTTACACAATTTAATGACTCATTTCAGTGTTTAATTTGCACTGACAGGCCAGCAGATTGCAACTCTGCTCTGAGTTTGTCAAATACACGTGTATTGTTGAGACTGCGAGGTCCACGTTTGCAACTGTTAACACACAACAATTGTGTACATTTTGTACAGAAATAGTAGGGACGCCCATTATTCATTTTCACGCACAGATTTCACATGTCTGCCTGAAATGCCTAATTAGTTAACTAAATATCATGTACCCTTCGCGCTCCCGCCATGTTGCCGCTTCATGTGCTAAAAAAGCGCTATCTTAAGAGCAGCTGCATATTTGTACAGTTTAAACACAGAGTGCTTCATAAGACTAAAGGACCGTACATTAAAGTATAGTGGCGTTTTATCAGATTTACTTGTCTTGAATGTTAGCCGGGGTAGCCTAGTCAGCATAACGACTGCCTACGGGATGGACGACAGAGGGATTGGAGTTCGAGTCCTAGTAGAATCAGAATTTTCTTTTTTCCATATCGCCCAGACAGGCTCTGGGGTCCACCTAGCCTCTTAGCCAATTGGTACCGGGGGTTCTTCCCCCGGGGGTAAAGTGGCAGGGCTGTGAAGCTGACCACTCACCTCCAACTAGTACCGAGGTCAAGAAAAGTGGATCTATACATCCACTCCCCCCATACACCTTCGTGGCGTAATGCTTAATTAGTTAAGCGCAGGGACAACTTCGCCCTTTACTTACTTTGAATACAATTCGACACGGAAATTGGAAGAACTCGTAGCTATCCAGCGGAAGTCGTCACGGCGTGCCGGTGGGTAGCTATCAAGCGGAAGTCGTCACGGCGTGCCGGTGGGTAGCTATCCAGCAGTTTAGAAGCAGGAGCATGATTTCCTATTAAATTATTTAACATCGCCTTTTCAGCTACATGTAGCATCGAATGATGGAACAATGAAGGATGGTAAACTGGGAAGAATTCGGAAGGACTTGGCCTGGACTAAATAGAGATACTATACCAGAATTTGAAGGGCCACGCCGTAGTGTAGTTGCTTGAGGCACTATGCTAGAAGCCGGAAGGTTGGGGATCGAGTCCCTATGAGGTGGATATTTTCAATTAACCTAATCCTTCCAGCTGCACTAAGGCCCTGGGGTCGGCTCAGCTTCTAACATAAATGAGTACCAGGAATCTTCCTGGGGGGTAAAGGGCGGCCGAGGCGTGAGACTGACAACCTTACAGCCATCTGTGAGACGTTTGTCTAGAGAAAATGTGGGAGCCTCGACGTCTCACAAACCTATGGGTCTTCACGGCCTGTTACAGGGATAGCTATACCTTTCCTTTATTTTCACCATACCAGAATTTGCCTGGACGGTCTGAGAAAAAGCAGTGAAAGTGTCAGTCAGGCGAGCAGGTGTCCAGTTTGAGATTCCAGACGAGCACCTCGCGAGTAGAGCTCTGGCGCTACGTCAAGCCAGTCGGTTGCAAGGCTGCATCTGATCCGTCTAGATCTTGTTTTGAGGCAAAGGTAAAAGGTAAAGTTGTCCCTGTGTTTAGCTGATTAAGCAGTACGTTATGAAGACGTATAGGTGAGTGGATGTGTAGGTCCACATTTTCTTGATTTCGGAACTAGCTGGAGGTGAGTGGTCAGCTTCAGGCCCCGGCCGCTTTACTCCCGAGGAAAGAGCCCCCCGTACCCATTGGAAAGGGGGCTGGGTGGGCCTCAGAGCCGGTCTGGGCGATGTGGAGAAAAGAAAATTGTGATCCTACTGGGACTCGAAATCCGACCTCTTGGTCGTCCAGCCCGTAGCCAGTAGCTATACCGACTGCGCTATCCCGACCTTGGAGTCCTTTGAGGAACAGAGGAAAACCACGAAACAATATCGTTCTTAGGATAGCCGGTCCCAGGCCAGTACTCGATGACTGCTATACAAGATTGAAGGAAATCCAATGCAGGAGTTCACACCGAGCAGGAAACAAGGACTTCGTTGTAGTAGGAGACGTGCACGGAACACTCACCCGTTCAGGAGTGTACACGTTCAAGTACAGGCAATCCTCACGTCCCACCACGAGGCCCAGCAGCTTCTGGATGCACACGGGGCCGTTGTGCCGCGCGTTCAGCACCTTCGACCATGGGCTGAGGCTCTGCGGTGCCTACCCAACAGGTTATTATGAGGTGGTATGCTGTTCTATGCTATGCTATAACATGCCATACTGTAGTATACCATTTGAAGCGTTCACGGCGAATATATGTTCTAGAATCTTGTCAGATGATCAGCCCTGCGGTATCATTCAGTAATATACCACAAAAAAATAGATTGTACGTCCCTACTCTAGAGAAAGCACTCCTTCTCTGGCTTTCTTTTTAAAAATGCTTGCTACTGAAAACAATAAATTGCTTATTTATTACGAAAAGTTTATTGTTGCAGGCTCTTCATTCATATTAAATGATGTTCTGTTCCCGTGTTATAAATCCGTTGTCAGGAAACGGACCGTGAAGGCTAATGGAAACAGACTGAGAAGATAAGTGTAGAGTTATTGTAAATTGTGTAAAGCAGCAATAGTGTAATAATTATTTGTAGTTACGACATGTATTAATTAATACATTAATTATTAATTAATAAATTCAATTACCAATCCGAACCCCGTCTTTAGTCACTGATACACATGACAACGGCCAAGGTCAGTCATACTAGGTTGACATATACTGTAAGTTCCTTTCTGAAGTCAGAGAAGAGTTAACTAACCTCGAATCTGAGCTCTCCAATGGGGGGCGCGGCGTACGGGATTCCCCTGAAAGAGCAGAAGGGCTTCCCATTTCGTGACTTTTCCGTAGAACCTTTCACGGGTCCCAGTCTCGTATCCACGAAGCAGTCTCTCCGCGCCTCGACCGCTGTCAGTAACACTAGGTACAACACAGCTATTTGCCATTGCAACCGACAGATGTCTCGACCATACACGTCGCACTGTAACAATCTGCATAGCTATGTTAAACGTATGCCCTGCGGATAACCTGTGTCGCTATATAGGCACTGGGCCACATTGGGCAGAGATTTTATGTCTCCATTGGGTGAAGTTCTGAGGTCGGCGTCATGGTTCGGCCACAACTGCCTCACCTGTCACAATAACCAACAGCTAACCAATTATAGCTACATCTGTATACTCATAACCTTACATATCAATGCAAACAAGATGTTGTTTGTTACGTTTCGGCCGTAATACTTCTTACACTGATAAGGAAGTAATTAAAACCAACAAGTCTCTCACGAAGTAGTTAGAAGTTTCACTTATTGAATAAAACATGCCTTATGTGTTTCAGTCCCAGCTGTGTATCGTTAGAGGCTTACGTGTTAAAGAAAACATATTAATGTATAGCAGTAACATTTGCATTTAAACCCTTTTACAGTTGAAAGTGCAGAAACTGTCGAATGTAGTCCGGCTTCTATTGGTGTTAGTTTTACTACGTAGATTTTGTGTAGAACATGATATTATGTTATTGTTTCATTGTTTGTCCATCCCTGCCTACGGTGTGCCGTGTGCTGTGACCGGTATCTGAGGTGACTCTTCTTTCTTCATTATTTCATTACCATTTAAACAAGAACCTACATCACTTGCTTTCCTGTCAGTTGCTCTCTCTGCGTAAAGGAGGCTGTTAGGAATTACAAATTACCGATGCAAATATGTACTCAGACAGGAGTTACTTAAAATAAAAGGGTTTACTTTCGTTTCTAATGACATACAGCAGCGCCAGGTAATGATATGTTATGGTTCAGGGTATTATTTTTATTATTTTTAATGCTAGTGGGGTGGGACTAAGTCCCTTGTACTGCGGCCACTTCTGGTCTATTGTACCAGCCCCAGATGATAGGTGAGGGTGATTGTGCAGCAATTGGTGGAATGAAGATTGGCAGGGGAAACCGAAGTAGTCGGAGGAAACCTGCCCCAGCGCCACTTTGTCCACCACAAATCCCACTTGACGTGACCCGGGATCGAACCCGGGCCGCCGCAGTGAGAAGCCAGCGACTAACCGCTTGAGCTATGGCGCGGCCCATGGTTCAGGGTATTGAAGTGGCCTACCTTTGAGCCCGATTAAATTAGTAGTTTTTGTTATTATTATTATTATTATTCAAATGTACGGTATATGTTAACGATATTCAAGGCATGTTTAGAGAAGAATTTCGAAATATCCGTACGTCGTTTCGAAAGGAACAGTGCCGAAAGTACCTGACCGCAAAGTTACCTCTAAGTTGTGCACATGCGTGGCCGCACAGTGGCTGTTGCACTCCCGCACATGAGTCCCTAAAACTGAAAAAAATGTATTTTGTCATATGAAGAACTCTCCCCTATTCAAGGAATCCCTTGGGCCTCGGAGCTGGCTACTAGGAGCAGAACACTTCCTACAACAACTTGGCTTACCTCTTACACATACTGAAGTTGTCCACACCGCCAGAGTTAATGCGGGAGGGAGCCTCAGATCCACCTTCAGTCTCTGGCTGTGCCAGAAAATACTGTTTACTCTACAACGTGCGTGATGGCATGACTCATACGTGCCAATAGCTCGATAGCTCGATGACCAATGTGTTGTTCTGTGCGACACCATGCATTGCATCGATAACGAGAAGCCAGTCTATCTACATTGGTCTCCTTGTCGTTGTTGACAGTCTTCCGGAGTATTTAGCACCGGGAACGCAACATTCCTCAGCTTTAATAATGCAGGACGAATTCTTATCAAACAAACAAGGGCAGACTCACGAAGTATTTCCCTAGAAGGAATTTGCAGCACAGAACCTTGCTGCTTGTAAGGCACTTTCCAAGAACTGTCGCTAACCTGACGGAGAGGCTGTAACCAAGGTGCTACTGAATCCAATCACCCGAACTACAACCCGTCGTTTTGTATAGGGAACATGAAGGTGCAAAGAACGCCTATGCACATATGTACGGTTTGCAGTTTTTCCGTCATTTTACGACTCAGTCATCCATTGAATGGGATGAGGCACTCATCAAACCGGCTGAAGGGGTTCCCCAGAACCTGATAAGTGGCATTCCACTTTCGCGGCGCGGTCATCAGACGAGACCCTCGGGTCAAGAGACTACATTTCGCTGTGTCAACGTGACCGCTGCGTGGTCCAGTGATAAGGCGACTCGTAGGCCGCCCGAGATCACTTTCAGGGAGCCTGTTTTACAACGACTGACGCTCTGTAGTAAACAGTGACAATGCAGGAATAGCAGATAACACGTGAATGCGCGAGATGACTTTGCAGTTTATAGAGATTAATGCAATTATGTTGCGATCTGAGAGGGAAATCGTAACGTATTGGGCACCACCGAAAAAGGGCGAACGATCCTTGTGTTTTACAGCATGTTTTCCATAGACATAACCTCCGGCTGTGGATATAGCTATGTGATTTTATTACAAAATCATGGAAACCTTTGCATTTTTCCTAAATAACATAAGCCGTCACTGTTTCACCGTGAACACTGTCAACGGAACCTACTGGCTGATTGAAATATGTCGAGCCGCGATATCTGAGTCCGTAAGCAAGTAAGTTATTGTCTTGGCCACCGAGGAATCAAGTTTCGATTCCCGGCAGGGGAAGAGAGATTTCTCTGCTCTAGGGCGTCCAGGCCGACTGTGGTGTTCATTAAGTCTCTTACTAAATCGAGACTAATGACTGAGGCTATACCTCCACTGCCCCACAAGCGTTCATAGCGTGGTGTTTAATTAAACACAAGGCCGAACTTGCATTTACGTAGATTAAAGGACATATTCACATTTTTTTACTGGCTCTACAGCCCCCCTTGTGGCCTGGCTTCTGATTTTCAGTTTCATGATAATTTACAGACGGTAGGACTCCTTTGACGAGTGATCAGCTCGTCGCAAGGTTTCTACCTAAACACAGGACAACACAAACACAGAATAAACGTATACACAAACCAAACATCCATGCCTTGCGTGGGATTCCAACACACGATCCCAGCTTCCGGGCGAGCGAAGACAGTACATGTTATAGACCTCTCGGCTACCGTGACCGGCCAGATTCACATATATCTTGTTAATTTTCTTATCAAACAATTGAAGTTGATACTCAGAAACGAAAGATTACAATAGACTGGATAGACTACACTGGAGTAGGCGCATGTTTTCTTTGGAAGACGCTCTTTGCCAATTTATATTCTTCTGCCTTGTTGATATTTAATGCACCATTAGAAGTGTTCAAAAACATCGTGAGGGAGTGGCGCCAGACAGGACACATCAACTTCTGATCTATGCTGATGACGTCAGTTTGTCAAACTTTTGTATCATTAGTACATTAATTTGATAATGGTTTCAAAACTATAGGTAACTAACTAACTAACTTCATGGAGCTGAGCCCTTCTTGAGAAGCAGCCAATTGTGCAGCTACTCAAGGACTTCCAGATATTCCTTCCTTCTTAAATTCATTCATTCCTCTGTAAAGGTCTCTAATGTTCCTGAATTTACTTTCCGTTGCAAGCTCATCAATTTTGTCTTTCAGATATTCCCTCTTTTTGTTCCTGAAATGCCTGCTGGTTTCACGTCTTATATTGTTCAGCTTATCCCCTCTTATTTCGCTTGGATCCTGTAACCACTGCAATTTGGCTTGTTTCATTTGATCTAATAATTTTGAGCATCCTACATCGAACCATGGCTTATGCTCCTTCAATTCATAATCATCTAGACTCTGGATGAAATTCTGATATTCTCTCTAGTAGTTTCCCACGCTTATTAATATCCACCTTAGCTTCTAAGTTTTCCAAAGCCGCGAACCTATTTGAGATTTCAACACAATACTGCTCCTTACCCTCTAACTGGTTTACTTTTTGGAGACTGAACCTCGCCTTATGAGCCCTGTGCATTGCTTGTTTACTTACTGCCAGTCTCTCCCTAACCTTTGCCTCCACCAGGTAGTGGTCAGTATCACAATCTGCTGCCCTGAATGATCGGACATCAAGTATACTTGAATACCGTCTCCTGTCTATAAAATGTGGTCTATCTGATTGTCTATCTTTCCATCAGGAGATGTCAACGTAAATTTATGACTTTTATGGTGTGCGAACATCGTACTTTTGACAATAATATTTTTGGATGTGGCAAAGTTTGCTGCTATAACTTCATTATCATTACTAATTTCGTGCAAATTATCGTTCACAATTGTTGTTTGGAAATGTCTTCCGTCCCTACGTTGGCATTAAAGTTTCCTAACAAAATTTTCTTATGATATTTAGTGATTTTACCCAATACATGTTCTAGTTCTTCGTAGAACTTGCTCTTCACCTCATCAATTTTATCCTCTGTTGGGGCATGAACATTTAGAACGATGATGTCACACCGGCGACCTCTTAGTATTACTTGCGACTAACAAACACTAACCTGTTAACTGATGCATGATTAACTGCATGATTATCTTTTGTATGAAGAAACTCGTACCTAATTCATGACTCTCGTTCCCTTTCCATAGAAACTTGCATATTCGCCTGCTGTTTCTGTATCACCTCTGTCCCATCTGAACTCCTGTGCTCTCACTCAGTCTAACTTATATTTTGATATTTCTTTCGCAACTGTCGTGAGGGAACCTGCCCCATACAGGCTTCTTGCATTCCATATACCAAATCTCACATATCTTTCTTTTAATTGTGATAACAGGGCCCGGATTTTGATCACATGTCATCTTTTTTTCCTTGTATCCTATGCGATACTCCTAAATATATAAATCTCGGATATGAGCTGCTGGTTACAGAAATGTAAATTTTATAGGTAATTTTGTCATTCTTTGACTTTTTTTGTTTAAGGTTATTTTTTTCATTTTTGGGGTAATTTTTTGGACTTTTAAGAGTGTTTCTTGCCATTTTGGCCATTTTAGGGAATTTTCTTCATATGTTTTCTGAAATGTGAATAATATGGAAGCGGAGTGTTCTTTCTTTTCTCCTTTAGGTCATTTCTCTGGATTTTTTCTGTCATTTTATAGGTCATTTTTTACATATTTTCAGGTCATCAAAATCCGGACCCTGGTGATAAATATTAACATTTTCACAATATTTTAAATACGTGAAAACAAATCTTCAGTAAATATTAATTATATTTAAGATTGCTGATGTCAGACCGAAATGTATGCAGCTCAACCCTTTTTATTTTTTTGAAGGTGATAGTACTACTGGAAAATTGAAGAACTGAATAAGGAATCTTAGGTACTGATCAAATCCCATCAGAATTTATCGAAGCATATGAAGTATTATGTTGAGAAGCAGGAACTTATTCTTTGTGCCTGGTATAAGTACGAATCGCCAGAGCTGACGGAGAAGATTTCCCTGTAGACGTCACTGCAACTAAAAGCCACTGTCCATAAAGTATCACATCTCTTGAGAGCAGTTTCTTGGAAGCGTGGTTAACCCTAGAATTAAAGTAAGTAAAGGTATCCCTGTAACAGGCCATGGAGGCCCATAGGGTTATGAGACGTTGAGGTTCCCACATTTTCTAGACAATCGGCTCATAGATGGCGGCAAGGTTGTCAACCCTACGCGCATTCTGCCCTTTACCCCCAAGAATATTCCTGGAACTCATTTCTGTTAGAGGCTGAGTCTATCCCAGGGCCATAGTGCGACTGGAAGGATTAGGTCAACTGAAAAAAATCCAATGACCTCATCGGGACTTGAACCCGCGACCTTCCGGTTTGTAGCATAGTGTCTCAACCATGTACGGGTTAACCCTAGAATTGCGACTTTAATTCCTACACTGCGAAGCAGCCATTTTGAATCATGATCGCTGTTCTTCCCTCATGGGTAACTAATTAATTTATGTATTAAAATCCCTAGGCACTTGTAAATGTAGGGAAGCATCTCTTGGCACGTTTCTCTACCTTGTAACTGGATAAAATTCCATCAAATAAAGCATAAAATATATAAATTTTGATTAATGTGGAACATTTCGACATTTGGCACTGGTAAGTTTAAAAATATATTCATTAATTACTAGAGACAGTTTTGCGATAAGTAACGGCATGAAACGTCAGACTTACTTATCCGTGCGGCTTTTGGATCTTGAGCACAAGCTACTTCGAGTATCTGTCCTGATTCGTTCAGGGCTATGCCACGTCAGAAATATGGCTGTATCAGTGTGAATGAGGAGTTGCTAACATTACCCAGCTAAATGTGATAAGTGTTCTTAAGAGATGTTTATTTACTCCGCCCTCACCATTGAAGTTTACGTAGCATTCCTCAGGCTCTCCAAGCAATTGACGCCATAATGCCTTCAAATAAGCCATGTCCACTTCCATTCACGTCTTCAACTTACGTAGACAAAACATCAATTGCAGTATAATTTCTTTCTTGTTGTAAATAAGAACAGGTACTGATTCTGATGCAAGCAATTACTTCTGCTTGTACTAAAGTTGTCCCTGTGCTTAACTAATTAAGTACTATACCATGAAGGCGTATGAGGAAGTGGATGTATAGATCTATATTTTTTACTTCGGTCCTAGTAGGAGGTGAGTGGTCAGCTTCACGCTCCTGCACAGTCGTCCAGCCCGTAGCTAGTCGCTATACCGACTGAGCTATCTCGGCACTTAATTCTGCTTGTGCTTCATTCATAAATATTATTTTGTTCTTTATTATCGTTTACAAATGATTGAACTTTGGCCCATTCTCAGATGATTTATTAGAAAATGTTTTGACTATTTTCCCCTCTTCTGGTTTTGACGCAGTAATATATACTTATTTTAAGGCAATATTTGGACTAATGACCTCGCTGTCTCTTAAGAGAATGTTCGAATTTTTTTATCGCTTTGCGTCACCAGTTAATCATATCTCACACGAATAAGTGACATTTACTACTCTCGGATATCGTGTTTGTAAGTCTGTTATTCTAAAGCGAAACAAAAACAATTGCTATGACTCAACATTTCCTTTTAAATTATTTAAAATTAGAAATTGTAGAGCAAGCAGGTGTTGTAGATAATGTTCAAGAATTGATTTAGAGGGTTACCCGTTTCGAACACCAACTGGGCTGCTGTCTGCCATGCTTCAGTACCTCCAATGTGCAAGTACGCCAGGGAAGCATCAGAAAGCGACACAGCAACTTTATTTCTACTTCATTCGACACTCTGTAACTTCTACAGCTCCACAGCGTGAAGCAAACAAACTGAAAGGTTCAATTTATGGGTTTAAAAACTCTCAAGATCACAATAAGAATCCTTTTTGAAGAATTAGATGCAATTCAAAAAATTTAGGCTGTTATCATTGTACACCTGATGATGACCCAGTATAAAGGTCGAAACATGTAGCTTCAATAAAGACAAATGTTGGTACGATGGTGTTTACTTTGTTTTTAAATACAGAATATTGTTGTGTAGACTACCACACTTCTACATAAACATTATATACTCTAAGCTAATATTTTTATCGTAAATACAACATATAAATCTGAAATTATTGCATCCTGGTGTGTGAAGGCAAATCTACAGTTGTCCGTGTGCTTAAATAATTAAGCACCACGCCATGAAATCGTATGGGAGAGTGGAGGAATAGCTCTACCATTCTTGATCTCGGTAATAGATGTGAAGTAGTGGTCAGCTTCACGCCCACACTGCTTAACTTCCGGTTCCCATTGGATACCAGAATGAGCGAGCCCCAGAGCGGTCTGGACTCTATGGAGTAAAGAAAAATCTCTTGATTCCGCCGAGATTTGAACTCCGGCCTTCCAGCTCGGAGTCCGCAGACTGAGCTATTCCGGCTTCTTTGCATTCAGGTGTGTATTTACGCTATCGTATGCAGTAGCCTATCTATGCAATCAACGCTATATTTATATCCTATATATGAAAATACATTGTTTAAAACACGATAAAAACGAAAGCATTTATGCGTTTGAATGCAAAGCATATACGTAGCTTGTGTTGGCCACACCTAAGTACGAGTATGTATTTCTTCTAATGGCTCTTCCAGCCCATTCAGGGCCCGGTCTCTTATTCAGCTCCGTAATCGTTTTCACAGACGGTAGGACTCCTTGGACAAGTGTTCAGCCCGTCACAAGGCCGCTACCTAAAAACAGGACAACACAAACACTGAATAAACGCATACACACACCAAACATCCATGCCTTAAGTGCGATTCGAACTCACGATCCCAGCGTCCGAGCGAGCGAAGACAGTTCATGCCTTAGACTGCTCGGCAACTGTGACCGGCTAAGTATATATATATATATAAAGTAAAAAAGTATGTGCATCCCTGTAACAGGCCGTGGAGGCCCAGAGAGTTGTGAGATGTTGAGGTTCCCACATTTTCTAGAAAATCAGCGAGGACAGTCGATCTTTGGACCGAGATCTTAACCCGAGGCTCCCCAAATACTACAAGGAGTTCCTTCTATTCTCCCTCGACGTTCGAACATGGGCCTATCACACGACGCGCCCAACACAGTACAGTTCCTCTATCAAACCAGAGATATTGCGCTGTATCTGTCACACTATAGGCAAAACACTGCATCAGTTGCTCGAGTCGGGACTCGATCAGGGACAAAAGCAGACGTAATAGTGTAGGATCGAATAAAGACTACAAATTCACCAACACACTCAACATACCCAGCCACGACCAAACACCAAATATGAACGTATTATAGGCAAACTTAAGGCAGATAATTCCGTCGCACACACAACGTTTTGAATGAAGATAACAGCCATAAGCCGATGTATAGCCACAGACAATAATAAGCCTAACAGGATCAACTGAGAAAATCTATACCTTATTTAAGCTAAGGATAAGAATTAACCACTGAATATATCTAGAGCATGGTATTTCCATATGTTTAATATTTTAACTTTTCGATATATCATTTAATATTTTAAGATTTTTAATAAATTTTAAATTATTGTTCAATACATTTTAAAAAAACACTTAATCTGTGCATATAAAGGAGATTATTGAAAGTGAGAGAAGCACGCTGTATTTTTTATTTTATTCGTAACACACGACGATAAACACAATATATGCAATATATGGATCCATATAGGAGGTACAATTAAGCAGTGCAAGCCTGTTTATGTATCGCCTGATGATTACAACCAAATACACTCAGTTTGCACCTATGCACAGCGGAATGTGAGTGAGTTGTTTGGGGGTTGTTGTGTTTGACAGGAAAAACGAAAACATGTATACGAGTATATATAAAACACACACGACAGGATACATTCCTTAAGAATATTTAGAGGGCACTACCTGATTTTCTGAGAAGTAGTGGGTCTGGAACGGGGTTCACTCAGCCTCGTTAGGATAACCGAGGAGCTACTTGAATGGAAAAGTAGCGACTCCGGTCCAGAAAACCGAAATTAACGGTCATGAAGATTCGTTGCGCTGACCACGAGACACCCTCTATCCGCTGATGTTGGCACTAACTTCACCGACAAGTGGCGGTCTCTCAAGTCGGTATAGTTCGCTTTCGGACTAAAGCCACGGAGTTTTTTTTTTGTAGTTCATGACATTATATAACCACGACTAATTTTTAAGAAAGACGCTAAAATTCTATTTGATCATGTAAAATGGCATCATGTTTTATTGATATGAGAAGACGTTAATTCGTCTGCCAAATTCTATTTCTGACTATTAGCTACAAATTTATTCTAAATCCGCCAAACACTGCAGGAGGAAAAACACGCGGATGAGCTTAAACGCGACCTTGATGCGTTCATTTTTGCCAAGAGCACGTAAAAACTTGGTTTAGATGATTAAGATCGACAAAGGACCCAAATATATTGCGAACAGGAAGCAGACAAACAAGTTTCAAATTACTGTTTTCTGTCACGGCAATTCTGGAGTGTAGTGAAGAGAGGCCGGACACATATCCCAGCAGGGTACCGATAACCCAGAACGTATTCTTTAACACTCTAATCGCTAAACCACGACTCCGGGCCGCAATGTTTTTTTCTCTTCCTTCATATATGTCTATAGGATTACAAAAAGAAGAAAGCAGTCTTCTGGGATTTGGCACTGTGTATATGTGGTGTTAACCGACGTTTCGGAGGAACGTATCACCTCCATCTTCAGGGTAGAAGGAAAAATATAAGAAATGCGCAAGCGAAGAGACCGTGAGAACCGGTAAAAGCAGACTGGCCAGACTGATTTCTTCATAGTCACCGCCGTGAAAGTCTCAAATCTTACAGGATGACAATAGTTTATTTCATATCTAACAGAAATATATTGTCTTAATAGTACACAACAGAATTCCAAATGAGCTCAATCATACTGAACTAACGTTTTTGAGGGTGGGAACGTGTTTGTGAACCATCCTGTGATTCACGACCGCAATATAAGGCCAACTTGTGAATGGAGGCGCCCCAGTAGCCGGCAAGTGTCACGAGCAAGTAGCACAGGGACACGTCTTTATTTCTATCCAGCCCAGCCTCACGAAGCAAGACGCTGTATAACACAGGTAAGCAATATGTTTACAAATTTAAATTAATTTGGGCCTCAGTTTGGTGTAATTCTGGCAGATACAGGAAAACCCAAACCTCATGGTACTAAATCAATTGGAAGCGCTGATCACTTACTCACCTCGTGTTCTCCGACTCTGGTCTGGTTGCTAGGCAGATGGTTGCCTTTATAGTGTAATATGACCACAGCTGTTTCGCTGCCTTGTGAGAAGTTTAATGCACAAAACGATCAGTATATGTTGTCACAGCTGTAAATAAGAGAATATGTATATTTATAAAACCTATATAAATGAGTAATTTCAGTATGTAAATACAGTTTATTTTTAGAAGAACGTAAGAGAAGGCGTGTTATATTTGTTTACAATTTACTTTAACACTTTAAATTCATATGGTTCTTTATGTAACATATGCTTCAACTTACTATATTTCTGCATCCTGCCTTCCAGAATATATTTGTGTGTTTTGTATGGTTCTCACAATAAACATAAATTATTTTCCTGAATAGCATATCCGTTTGGTCTTCGAAGTGGAGACATAACGTGTTTCCTGTGAGGTATGAACTGAATATTCATGTATTATTTAGAATTTATTCGATCAGTAAAGACTTGCTTGCCCCGCCTGGGAATTAGCGTCGGACAACTACCTCTTAAAATTGCAGCGCATGCAAAACAAGGTTCTGCGCACCACCGAAAGCTTTCCAAACTGCACATCGGTCCGCGTTTTGCACACAGCTTCCAGCCTTCCGTATCTACACGATTATATAACCAAATTGTGCAGGCAACAAGCAGAAGTCACACAAAATCATAAGAATGAACATGTTAGGACCGCAGGACAAGACGAAGCCAGACACAGAAAATATAAGAGGCTTAAATTCGGTGGCGGTCAAGCTTACGACCGTTCAAGTGACTAAGCTGCCGTTACAGCATAAGGTAAGTAAGACAGGCGTGATCTGCTCTGTAAAGCCTGGACTGACAGAGGACTTGTACACAGTGCGCAAGGAAGAATTTTCAGTAACATGCTATGTGGGCGATACGTACACGTGACAAAAGTGAAGCCTATTCACAAGAGAAAACCCCTTTCTTATAGTCAGAGAAGAAGTTATATGAGGACTGTGACCGCAAGGGATAAGTTGAAAGAATTATCGGGTCGTGATACTCAAGCGGCTTGGCACCAAGACGAACTGATTGGCGGTAAACCGGTAGTCGTAAAGTGGCTCTGACTCTGACTCACTTTTAAAGTGTTAGAAAGATCACGGGGAGGAACGACAGCTATGGTTACTGCGTGTATGTAGGCCTGCATGGGCATGCGTCTGGTTCAGATCCGCGACTGTGAAACGGAACGTCGTGTTTGACTCCCGGCTTAGAACTAAACACGGGACCTCCTCAGTACGAGGCAGGAGTGCTACCACTCCACTGCGACATTCAGTTAAGTATTTCTTGAGAAGCTATTAGTCGCTCAGCTGGATCGGATTTTCCGAATCTCTTACGGAACCCGCTAACCTCAGCCATGTAACAAGCTTCACACAACATCCACACAATAAGATTCACTTTAATAATATTAATTAATTTAGTTCCTCCCAATAATTTATTTTACATGTGCCTGTAACAAAAGTCGTAGTCAAATGGTCAGTACTGCTGCTTCGTTCTCTGAAGGTTCCGAGTTCAAATCGCGATTTTGAGACCGCATTCTATGCTTGAGCATTGCGTGATATTCCACATTCACTCTGAGTTAAGTTCCGGGGCAATCTCAAATCAGGCCCTGACTGCTGCATTCCATAGTCTTTCCAGTTCATTGTTTGTTATGAAGATCTGCTCAACCATTCCACGTAAATGGTTGGATATTAATTTAAAATAGGCCACAACAATTTTTGCCACATTCTGGCAACTTCATCATTCGTAATGGTTCAGTATTTTTATAGGTCTTCGTATAAATGCACTAAATCAGTCGAATAATTCTGTACATAAATTCTTACTACATATCATTCTTCCACTGTAGCCGTTGCGCAGCAGACCCTGTGTCCTGTTACTTTTGAAACCATGAAACATGCAACAAATTGTTACGGCTCCTATGGCGGAGGACGGGTCCAATGCAAAATCTCCAATTAAACGGGATAAGAAAACACAGAAGAGGACACAGTGTGCACTTAACAAGCTTTTCCAGCTGAACATTTCGTAAATAAAATAAAGGCCGCGCCACTGCTCAAGCGGTTAGTAGTTGGGTTCCCACCGCGGTGGTCCGAGTTCGATCCCGGGTCTGGTCAAGTGGGATTTGTGGTGGACAAAGTGGCGCTGGGGCAGGTTTTCTCAGAGTACTTCGGTTTCCCCTGACAATCTTCCATTCCATCAATTGCTCCACAATCACCCTCACTTATCAACTGGGGCTGGTGCAATAGGCCAGAAGTGGCCGCAGTACAAGGGACTTAGTCCGACCCCACTAGCAATAAAAGAAAAGTCGAAAGGTGATTTGTTCGCTGGTAGAAGCTTTCGCTTGAGGTTTCGGGGCGGTAGGCCGAAAAGTCAATGCAGAAATAAGCAACAATTTATGATTCTGAGCACAGAGGACATGATGACATGCAAAGGAGCGACGGGCTGCGAGCGAGAGAGAGAGGGATCGCGGACAGATCTGGTAACATGTACGACTTGTCGTACGTTTGTTGTTGTGAGAATTCATTACGTGAATGGTCCTGAAACGATTTTCCGTGCTTAAGCTGCGTAAATAAAATAGAGCATTTATTAATGAGAATTGAAATATTCGGCTTCCTTCACTTAACAATGGGGCAAAGACTAACTGAAGAGAAGGTGTAAGCACCTGACTGAAACGCGCTTAACTAGTTCAATGACTCTCTTTCAAGAATCACTGTGGGCTGTATTAACGAACTCTTGCTCACTAATGAGAATACTGAAAGAAGCAGTTCTGATATATCGTAGCTGCCACTTCGAGGAACATGCGGGAAACCGGAAGAATTATGTAGGTTATGGCACGTAGCGATAAACGCCAAAGAAAATGTGTTTATTTCGTACTGGACTTATTTAGAGGCTTCCTCAGTCGGACAAAAACGTAAAAAGAAGTAAAGGTATCCCTATAACTGGTCGTGAAGGCCAATAGGGTTGTGAGATGTTGAGGTTCCCACATTTTCTAGACAATCGGCTCACAGAAGGCGGTAAGGTTGTCAGCCTTACGCGCCGGCCGCCCTTTACCCCCAGGAATATTCCTGGTACTCATTTCTGTTAGAGGTTGAGTCGACCCCAGGACCATAGTGCGGCTGGAAGGATTAGGTAATTGAAAAAAATCCAATGACCTCATCAGGATTCGATCCTGCGGCCTCCGGTTTGTAGCATAGTGCCTCAACCAACTACGCTACCGCGTGGCCCCTTCTCAATTTGACAGCTTGTATTAAAATCAAATGGGGCAATAAGTAAACGTGAATGATTAATTTGGAAAACTTTGGAATGAAATGGTTGTGACTGGGGAAAACCACAGTGTTGCCTACTTCGCTCCCGTGTCGTGATTCAGACCCGAAACCACGTCAGTACGAAGTAGGAACCTAACAACTCGTGCTCACTGCTATCGAGTTGTGGGTTACTTTATGTCGTTGCCAGTATCTCGCATGTAATAGTACGTTAACTGATGAATTGGAAGGGATTTGGTAGGAAATGGTGGTGACTTAAACTTGGTAGTACCGAGGCATTTTGACGGAGGGTCTGAGGGGAACCACGAAAAGCCTCATTCAGGATATCTGGTGTCCCGGCTGAGGTCAGAACAGAGTGATACCCGAATAAAATTCTCGAGTGTATCTGGTACACCAAGCTGTTAGGAGCGGCGGTCAGGGCAGACAGTTTGCGGAATTGCCCCCTTGTATTTCGTAAAACAGAAGTACTGTAGCTGTAACACGACGAGGAAATTTTTCGTCTTTGGCACGGTATAAGCATACTGATAAGCTATCTCCGTAATAAAGGTTCTGATTTTTGTCTCATATACAATTAGCTGCGTAAAGTTTCGTTATGCAAAGTAAAGTTTCATTCAATTCTATTACCAAACTCGGGGCCATAGAATTGTCCTTGTCAATCGCGAAATTGTAATATCAGTTTTCTACAAGAAATAGTTATTCTTGTTCACGGTTTCCGCATTATAGGCATTTTGAGAGCAACTGGCCGAAATATATTTTATTTTGATGGTATAAAAGCAACTTTTTCTTACCTTCTTTTGCATTAGTATCAGCACGTTTTTTCAATATAATTTATTTATTTCTAACAACTGGTTTGTACCGTTTAAGCACCCACTCTCATATATGAAACAAAAGTGTACTACATATGGATGTTTTTCCTAAAAAATTTTCATTCAACGATCGATACATTTAGATCATAGCACAGTGAAAACTTCGATAGATTCTCGGACATACGCTTTCTGCGTCTAGTTGTATCTGCACCACCATGGAGCACGAAGCCACTGCTAGTAACACCACAGATATGGTTTGTATGAGAATATTCGCTACCGTTTACTAAATAGAAGTAGTTACGATTAATTTATGAAAATGTTACGTTGCATACAATACAGTGTTTTAAGTCGTTTTGAGTAGCCTGACGATCCTGACATTCTTCGCACAGTATAGGTTAAGCATGACATATTCACTAAGGGATATTGTCTCTCCGTCTGTATATGTGTACTAGCCTGCGTTTCGCAAAAGGATTTTCATTGGGTATATCAGAGGTTCTTTAAGAAAATCACGTAAAATTAACGGGAAACCATGTCCGTTTCCCCACAGGTTTCATCTTCAGGAAGTACTGCGGATTTGCTTTGGGCTGTCTTTGTCGGGTTCATTTCATCTTGGTTTACATAGGCCTAATATAAGTTTTATATTTACATGAAATATAGCAATCTGTTTAGATTTTCTAGTTTTGAGTTAGTTATTTAACGAGGCTGTCAGTATCGAGACTATATATCGTCAACGATGAGTTGATTAATGAATATGGAGCAGTCGATGGAATGAGAATTTGCAGGGAAATCGACTCTCTAAGAGAAAACCGATCATATAAGTTATTAAATAAGTAAATTGTGTGAAATGTACGTAGCATAATGCCAACAGTCTTTTTTTATTTGTGGTAAATTTTCAGCGAAATGCGAAGGAAAATGATTAGATCCTCCTGGAACTGCAGTGAAGAAATTTCGAGGCCATTTATGTAGAAATGCAAAGTCGCAGAGATGTTTGGAAGACACGTTTGCGTACTCCATGTTGTTACTGGACTTACGTACCAACCTTCGAACTCAAAATCACGAATTTTATTATCAACACAAAAGTAGTGTTTCTGCACTTGATTATCAGATTACTGGTACTATGGGAATATATTAACCTTGTCCAAGGCCGTGCCATAGCTCAAGCGGTTAGTCGCTGGTTTTCCAAGGCGGCGGCCCGGGCTCGATCCTGGGTCTAGTCAAGTGGGATTTGTGGCCGGCAAAGTGGCGCTGGGGCAGGCTTTCTCCGAGTACTTCAGTTTCCCCTGCTAATCTCCATTCCACCAATTGCTCCACAATCACCCTCACCTATCATCTGGGGCTGGTACAATAGGCCAGAAGTGGCCGCAGTACAAGGGACTTAGTCCCACCCCACTAGCAATAAAAAAACTTGTCTGATCCAGGTAGTAGCCCGAGTAAAGCATGGCAATAACCTCTATGAAACAGATATTCACGGCGTGAAGATTTATATTATTGTTGTTGTTGTTATTGAATTGCATCTTAAGGTTTTTTCATTGAAAAGTAGACTTCCACTCAGACAAGAAATTTCCAAACTTTCTGTAACTTAAAGTTTCATAGCCGTGTTCACAAAAGCTCTCTATTTATCCAGTTGAGACCAATCGACACGTGAATCCTCTATTTCAATAATAATCGTTTTCACATTACCTTCCCTTCCAGGAATCCTAAATGGTTTCTCCGCACCAAGCTTAAAATTTGGTTGGAATACACACAGCGACATCGATCGTATGGAAAAATGTCGTACGATTTTTTTTTTTGCCGTACGACCTCTTTTTCACACTAGAGTGACCACTTATACGGATTCAATTGGCTGAAACTTCTGCCTTTATTCGGGAAGTGCCGGCTTCTTTTTTGGTGAGGAGTTATTAAACAAGGCTGTGTTGCGTCGGATGGTATGATAACAGATGAACTGGAAAGGATCTGGAAGATGCGGTTATGAATTAATTCAGACACTACCGCTACAATTGTCTTGAGGAAAACCACGAAGTACCTCAGCCAGGATAGCCGGTGTCCCTGCCGACATTCGAACCGAGCACCTCCCGACTAGTATTAGCCTGGAGCGTTACCGGTAGATACGTCTTATCAGGGTGACGGATTCGAATCTTATCCTCGACACAGCATATCACGTCTTCATGGTTTTCAGGTGTCTCTCCAGGTGATAGCCGTGATATTACCTCGAAATTGGCCACGGCCGTTTCTTTCCCGGTCGAATTTCACGAAACATGATTATTCCTTCACATCGTACAATAAATAACTTTTCGTCTAGGTGTATACATCAGCATTAAGTAACCTCCTTTCAAAAGGGAGTAGTAATATCACTGAAACACTGTATTGGACATTTCATGTTTCCATATACATTATTTTCATTGCTAGTGGGTGGGACTTAGTCCCTTGTACTGCGGCCACTTCTGGCCTATTGTACCAGCCCCAGATGATAGGTGAGGGTGATTGTGGAGCATTGGTGGAATGGAGATTGGCAGGGGAAACCGAAGTACTCGGAGGAAACCTGCCCCAGCGCCACTTTGTCCACCACAGATCCCACTATACCAGACCCGGGATCGAACCCGGGCCGCCGCGGTGGGAAGCCAGCGACTAACAGATTGAGCTATGGCGCGGCCCTCCATATACATTACTTCTGTCAGTAGTGTCAACAGTCAGCTCAAGTTGTTACGCAACGAGATTTCATATTTGCTAGAAAAGTGATGTATTTCTTCAGTATTCGATGCTACTGGGTTTCTGGACTTCGCTCACCGTCCTGTGTTCTAAAGGACACTACATAACAGAATGTTTCGGAAACTGCACCTGTTTCCATCCTCAGGTGAGAGATAGTGGGACGCCTATTCTCTTGGGTCCTTCAGAAAGCTAACCTCATTTCTCCATAAGCCTCCTTTTATTTTTGTGAATATAAGGAAAGTAGACTGAACTGGGTATTTCGAACATTAAAATATTTACAGGTTTACTGTACAATGAATAAACTGAACTCAACAATAATTATGAGTGAACTGAATAAGTCTCTTTATGCACATACTAAAGTACGTAAAGTAAAAGTAAAGAAAAGGTTTCCCTGTAACAGGCTGTGGAGGTCCATGGGGTTGTGAGATGTTGAGGTTCCCACAATTTCTAGACAATCCGTTCACAGATGGCGGTGAGGATGTCAGCCTTACGCGCCGGCCGCCCTTTACCCCCAGGAATATTCCTGGTACTCATTTCGGTTAGAGGCTAAGTCGGCCCCAGGGCCATAGTGCGGCTGGAAGGATTAGGTAAATTGAAAAATCCACCTCATCGGGATTCGATTCTGCGACCTTCCGGCTTGTAGCATAGTGCCTCAACCAACTACGCTACAGCTTACCCCCTACTTAGGTGCGTTCTGCAGTAATTTCGTTCAAGTATCCACAGAGCAGTATACTTCCATTATTTTTAAAGGTAGTAATTTTTGGGCCAACCGGTATAGTAGTGCCGATTAGTTAGAAAGATCCTTGCAGTCGTGTTATCCACTTTTGGAACATCTTATACTTTATCTGACCAGAAAAAAAGAGAAGATGATGTAAAACGACTAATTAATTATAAGCACAGCTCAATATAGATACGTTTATCAGTCTTCACTGTGTGACCTTTTTCCTTCCTGGCCCCCTGTCAAAGTAATGGTACATGAATATGCTTCTCGAGTGGTGCATCTGTCCAGAGCAAAAACTATTCAGAACCCTTTAGTGAATTCTACAGGTTTTAAACACTTTAATACCCCACCGTCCCATGCATTCACTTCAGATCAGATCCAAAGACACGTTGACAGAAGAATCATACCACATTAAAATAGGCCAAGGCTTCTTTCATAATCCCTCAGCCGTGTCTTGTCTTACGCCAATTTCTGTTGAATTTCTGTAGGGAATTGTTAACGATTCGTTTTCAATTATTAATTAAGGCATGTTTTTGTACGCATATAAAATGCACCCCATTCTTCTGATAGAACATACGTGTGTGTATGTGCAGTTGGGGGGAAGACGTTACAGTGCACGTTGGCTGAAGTGGTAAAGCTCCTCACTTGTAGTTACTATAGGATTCTGACCATGGTGTATAACACACAGAGATATTGGGTTTTCGGAGTTTATCGTCCAGTGACTGAGGCTAGCTCTTTCTAAGGGACCCAACAGAATAGGTGTTTTCCCTCACCTGAGGACGGAAACAGATCCAGTTTCCGAAACGTCGTGTTTTTCTTAGTTATCTTAAAACCAGGACGATGGATAAAGTCCGAAAACCCAATATCTCTATCTCCTCACTTGTATTCAGGAGATGCAGGCTTCGAATCTTGGCCAGAACACCGAATCTCCTGAGTGAGGCTTTTCCTTAGTCCCTCGAGACAAATGGTGAGATAGTACCTTAAGACTAGGCCACGGCCACGTCCTCTCTAATCCTTTCCAATTCATTTACTCTCATCCAATCGTTTGACCCAGCATGTACTGAGTTGTTAATAGCGTCATTAAATAAACCACAAATAACTAAACTTGGGAAGATATTACGAACTAAAATGTACGAGAAATTGGGAACGGAGGATATTATTCTGGTACTATTGGCATTAGTGGAGTTATTTCTTTTTTCTTATCTGCTTTTGACATTCTTTCTACCTTTCAATCTTTCCTCCTTTCGGTCATTCTCCTTTTTCAGAGAAAATCGAATTTACCTTATGCCGGATATATAGCTTGAATTTAGGAAACAAATACAGATTACTCGTTGAGACCATAAGAGGGAAACTTTGACATATGAAAGGAAAATGTGAGGACCAAGGCCAGACTATGGAGGTGCAGGGGTGCAGTTATTTCTCATTCTGTTCATATTCAGACACTCCGTTTGCTCTGTGTATAGCAATAATTAGAAGAGGGCCTCTAGAAGTGTGGGTGCAGGGGCCCCAGACCACTTGAAAGAGAAATTGTTAAGGATAATATTGTACTAGCATGAATGTTAGAGAAATTGGTGTTTGTAGTGTCAATTAGATGAATGGTTTAATGAGAGGGCATGTAATGTGCATAAAAAAAGTTAGAAATGCAAATATGGTTGTGTTTGGAGAAATCCTCTGGAGATACCGCTTAGAAGACATAATTGTAGAAGGGGGATGATAATAATAAAATGAATCTATAAAAATGGTGATTTGAATATGTGGACTTGGCTCATCTAGTTCAGGACAGACATTGGTGGTGGGATCATGTGAAAACTGTATAGGCTTGATAAAAATTTGGGTCACATGAAAGGCAGAGAATGTGTTGATCAGCACAGTCACCATTAGCCTCTACTTCATGGAGATAATCAGCTCAAAATTATGCTTATAAGCAGTATTAGGGATTTAGGTTATGATGTCATTAATGTTGTATTTATGAGATTTAGATATACATATTGAATCATTGCAAATGGTTGACATCTTTTTCAAAACGAATGAACTAAGATCTTATTTTTCTTGTAAGGCTTTTGCTCATGGTCACTTTGAAATATTCCCTCTGATCCCTGAGTAAGAACAATTGTCATCACAGTTGCCACTCCCCAAAGACCTGAGTGATGGACATCAGCAAGGGCATTAATGTTGATAAATCATACTTCTTATTCAGGTCACCATGTCAGAGCCAGTTGCTGTCATCACCTCACAGAACACAACATTGGTAATTGGAATGGCTGCGGTACTGCTGACTGTTGCTGTCGCTTGGTGGCACCAGAGGATACAAGGAAGGAAAAAAATCCCTACCAAATGGCGGCAAGTTGGTGAGGTCAGTGAGATGACCATCTACCCGCTGAAATCTGGTAGGGGAGTTGATTTGAAAGAGGCGTTCTGCACTGACCTTGGATTGCGAACAATTGGGGATGAGACCACGCAGCTCCTGGACAGGTATTTTATATATATTTACATGAGCTTATCGAGGTGAAATGCCAAGTCTTATTTACATCTCTGTAAAAAAAGGGCATTCCTTATTCATGTTCTCTATTAGTAGATATTAATTAAATTTTAGCAAGACAGTTTAAGTTCAATAGAGTACAGTAGAACAATGACTGGCATCAAGGCAGCGGTTGATAAATGGAGCAGGCAGGCCAAGTCTTTACTGCACATTAGCTATTGCATACGTAAGTTACAGGTTTAGTAACAGACGTTATATTTTTGATCAACAGAACATTTCTGGTGTTTGGTTCTGATGACCGGACATATATGACTGCAGCAAGATTCCCCAAGATGTTGCTCATCACAATTACCGCTGGATCTGACGGAATTGTCACATTCCGGGCCCCGGATATGCCACCACTGCCATATAGGATTCCAGACAGCAATGAGGACTTGACAACATCCACTTGCATGTGAGTACAAACTGTAATGACATTGTTCTAGCTAAATTAAACCCGACTAATGTACCTAAATTAACTGCCATCACAGAACATGTCCTTCCTTGAAAAAATTACATTTATTTGGTTTGTTAAGAAAATTTCTGATTTTTGGAATCAAAAGACTGATTACTGCATTTGCAAAAACCCGATATCAGGCCCAATTCTGAGCTACTTGAATGCAATCAGCCACTTCATGCAATACTTTTAAGATACTGTAATGTGAATGTGTCCCAACAAGCTACAATAGAAGGTCATCATTTCTAGGCGACACCTGAAATATGTGTATGCAATTGGCGAAGATATGTTTTCTTTAAGTTCAAGGTGATGTCACACAATAGTAGGTAGCGTTCACATGACGTGTTTTCTTTTGTCTGCGCAACTGGCGCATGCGTTGTAATGTCACGCAACATTGTAGATTGTCATTTGACATGTGTTTTCTGTGAGGCGTGTCCATGCTTCCTCTTCATAAGTGAGCAGAGTCTAAAGTGGGCAGTAAGTGAGTGAGTAAGTACGCGTAAATCCATGAAGACTAGTGTAGATAGACTGAACAGATTAGTGTGGAATGCTTTGTAGTGTGAAAATCAATAACAGTGTTGTAATTATTTGTAGTTACAGCCTGTAAGCGGTCAATAAATGCAATTACCAATCTGAACTCTGTCTTTAGTCACGATACACGTGACAATGCATTTAACTGTTATCTTCCCATCTGAAGATAAGTAGCCTGTGTGTTGAGAGTCATAATCAAGGCCTTCTGAATACATACATATATACATACATCAGCGTTTCAGAGTATTCATAAGTGTGCAGCTGGCACTGAATATAAAACTTGTCAAACAACAGTCACAAGACACTCACAGATAAAATCTCAGAGACATCAATTCGAACATAGTTAAAATCTACACTGAATACCTCAATTAAATAGATACAATGTTACACATACAATTACACCAAGATAATTAGCAATACATAATAATTCTCCTACCTACTCCAATATACATATGCATGCAATGAAGAACTATGGTTGTCACACATTTAGATATAAATTGCACAGTAATATAATGAAATATACCTAAATAAACAAATTTCTGACTATAAATCCTTACAACAAAGCAAAAATTCATCAACTGAATAAAACGAATTATGGATTAATATTTTTTTAGTTTTCCTAGGAAAGGTTTCCTGTCTTGTTCCAAATCTCTTACATACAGAGGCAAACTGTTGAAAGTTTTAACACCCATATAATGAACTCCTTTTTGCCTTACTGCTAAATATGACTGCAATACATGTAGATTCCCTCTATGTCTTGTGTTCTAATCATTAAAAATAACATACTCAAGATTACTTATCATATGAAGTGAGAGTGGTAACTACTCAGTATAGTTTTAATACTGATGGTATATATGATAAGATAAACAAAGAAAAAATGACAACAAGGAATCCTTGTATCTAAGCATCATAATATGAAGGTGTGGCTTCGATGTAAAGCTCAGTGCATTCTAGATTCTGGCAGTAAATTTTAGATGATATATACTTGATTTCTGGAGCACAAGTTTATTCCAAATTCTTCCATATTTTCACAAAGCTCCTCATTATTTGCAAGCTCTAATACATGTCTATCTATCCAGCCTTTTGAAAATGCATTTTGTCTTGCTGGGTACTTGAAGAGTTTGGTGGAGTGAGGAGGTGCAAACGCTGGATTGTGGAGAGGAGGCAGCAACTTGGTTCTCAAAGTATATACTAGGAAAAGACACAGGAGCAAGACTTGGCTACTATGCGCAAGAGAATCCTACTTTTAGGCGTGATATCTCGAAGGTGAAATTGACTGCTTTCCAGCAGCACTATAAGAAGTTGCGTGACCACGATGTGGTGAGTTGTCCACAGAGATGTGTTGAGTCTACTTTGTGTTATACCATAAAGATGGAGGCAGGAAGTTCTCCAAAATGTTGGTACCAAACTACATGGTGTCACAAACCAGAACACCTTAACCTTGACACAGTGTGAAATTAATTCTTTACTTGCTGTATTTTTATTCATGGCATTGTTACTTACTTCATTGCAGTTAATGAAAACACATTTTGAGCTGTGTAATGCAGAGGAGTGCAATGTTTGCACCATAAAATACATGTGGCTCTTAACATTTTAAGAGTTTTAAATTTTCACAAATTCTCTCCTAAAGAGTGCTGAATGAATTTTGATAAAGTTTAATATGGGGAAGATGTGGGTCATATTACAAGTAATAAAGAAAATTTTCGTTTTATTCTCAGTCCAATATGATCCCTGCTTTTCACAAAATTCAATTAAACTTCATAAATTTTTATAAAACCCTCATTGTACTGAAGACTGATATATATATATAAGATGTCAATGGGTATTATGAAGGTTTACAAATTTTATTCCAAACATTTTTTGAGCTCATGAATATTTAATTAAATGTGAGGATGAGTAATTCATGTGTCTCAAGTATAATATATTTAGTGTTCATTAGTTTTGTTAACAGCAGACTTTTAACAGTGTGCAGTGTGATTTCTGTTCTGCTGTTCACTTTGCAGCAGTAGATTTGTATCTGTAATATATGTCTAACAAGTTATATATATAAAATCACAAGGATCACATTTGCAAAGTATATTAACTCCTTAGAATACAATTTTTGACTCGTGTTTCTGAAAAAAATATGGAAAATCACTGCAACAGTACAACTAATTTTTTAATCAATGTGTATGTAGGCTTTATTAATTTATTTCTCAGAATTAAATCATAAATATGCAATGGAATAGTTGTTATGCAGATCCAGTTTTATGTTTATAATGAAACTCAGCTCAATAAACTTTACTTTACTTTACTTCAGCAGTGTTTCATGGTTTGTAGGGAGCGTATACATACTTGTCAGGCTTCATGCTTTTGAGTGAGTCCACCATGGATGATCTAAGGTCAAGATTACCTGAACGGTTGAGAGATCTAAGCCATAAGCGCTTCCGGGGCAATTTCATTGCCCGAGGCACCATTCCTTATGAGGAGGACAAGTGGGACTGGGTCAAGGTGGGCGAGCAAGCCATCTTCAGGACTGTCAAACCCTGTACAAGGTAACTGCAACTATTATTTCCATGTCTTTATATATATGAATTTTAGAAAGCTGCAGAGGGAGTGAAGCCTGTGACTAAAGATTACATTGATTTATTTATCAATTCATTGATTATCATTTATTTATTTATTTATTGACTGAGTAGAATGTATGGTTTGATTGCTTTACCATTATTTTACTGATGACTAAATATCCAACCACACTAGTTATTCATGATGCAGCACAGTGATTATCTCAGCCCAAAAATAAGAGTTTAAAATTAAACAAAATAAATCTGGATTTTGTGTCATTTCGTCCACACCAGATGTTTCTCGTCATTCTGTTCAGTACTGCAGGGCAATACTGGAATAGTTTTTAAAATAGACCATGGTAACTCCTATTCATTCAATTAATCGCGCAGTCATTCCTGCACTCTATACACTATTATCTGTCTAGTTCAGGGATATAAAATAAACTGAGAAAATGGATGATAATAATAAGTATACTGCCATTATGCAACTGTCAGTGTTCCTTCCACATTACATGTGGTAGCCACTGAAGCAATACCTGATTTGCTATTTTATGCAACTGTCAGTGTTCCTTCCACATTACATGTGGTAGCCACTGAAGCAATACCTGATTTGCTATTTTATGCAACTGTCAGTGTTCCTTCCACATTACATGTGGTAGCCACTGAAGCAATACCTGATTTGCTATTTTATGCTACTGTGACAACTAACAGATTATTTAGTATTAAATGTGATATGGGAATGATTGTCGACTGTGAATTTGGAATGACTCAGGAGGAAACAGACATTTCAGATTTCAAGATATTGCTGACCTGGAAAAAGTCTGAGAACAAATATCAGAATTAGGAAGGTTGTATGAAATCTTGGACAAAGAGAGACAGCACCACCAGTAATAAAGGTTGGAAATGTATAAGAAATATTTATTAAGAAGGTGAACTACTATTAGAATGTATGAGAACACTAAAGAACACAGCATTTCAGAAACTGAATCTGTTCCTACCCTCAGGTGAGGATGTGGGAGACACCTACTCTGTTGGGTCTATTAGAAAGAGCTAACATCAATCACTGGTATCTGATAAGTTCTTTATGATATGATCATTAAATGTATATGAAATAATAATTTCTGTTAAGTACATGCAATTTCCTACATTAAACATGTTTAAAAACAATAAGATTATCTGCAGGCGAAGTATATAATATTCAAGAAGCAATACCAAAGAATTATGTTTCTAGGTGCATTATCATAAATGTGGATCCTGAAATGGCAGTGAGGGACCCTGAGTTTGAGCCACTACGCACGCTGAGATCGTAAGTAAAGTGTGTCACTTTTTAGAAGCCCATTGTTTACTGATATTCTTATGTGTTTTGTCACAGTATGAGAGCTGTAGCATATGAAATGTACGTTTTGTTTATAACTTAATCATGTGGTCAAGAAAAAGGTACAAAACACAGTGGGGAGCCTTCCACAGTGACACAAGTGATACCCAATCAGCGCTGACCATTGGGCTTTGGAACACTGATTATGCACAACTGTGGGGGTTATTATCATTTTCAGTCAATCAATCATATGGTACAGAAAACTGTATTAAATTGGTAACAGTGTAGGAGGGGAAATGGTGGAGAAGATAATTTGAATCCTGCCTATATCACATACCCAATCCAATCCATGAATTAGTGATATTTATACTGTAATGATGCAATATAGATGTAAAACCATTCAAACAAGTGTGACATGACATCTTGTAGTGACATATGCACGTTCCATGTGTTAATCCTTAATCATGCAATTACATACACACATTCACGTTTAGTCAGTCGCTCATTACCAATTATTAAACCATTCATTTATTTACTAACTCACCCACC